AAAACTTAACGTCTAGTATTTCAAACGGGACTTGGTTGCTGTGATTCTCCTCCTAACAAGCTCAGATACTTGCTCTCACCCACAGTCTTTGTGGAGAAACCAGTTTGTATGTAGAAGTGTGGATTTTCACCAACCTCAGGAGCCAGGGTGCATCTCTGCACATCCCAGCCATTGCACTTTCTATTGACAGTCTAGACACAGAGGTTAGCCAGCTGGTAGGGTTTTTTTTCAGATATGAGTATGGGAATTTTTTTTAGAGACCAGATGAGGAAAAATCCTTGTTTCTCTATTGCCTCGAAGTTTTGGGAAATGCTAAGTCTTCAGCTTTCAATCAGAAGGGCAGAGAGAAAATATCGTCTTAGAGCATGAGTAATGCATGAGACTTGCACATGTGTACACCCCTTCTAAACATGGACACACGCTCACACAAGCTCACTACAGCAAATTTTTTCCTAGAGAAAAAAATATTTCCCCTCTTTGTGAAACGGCTCAGTAATAACATAATTTTTTTTAAAGATGTTGGAATGATGAAAGATATGTTTCACATTGCAAAATCTTCCTTGCCAGGATTGGATGCAAAATCTGCCTTTTAAACTCTGAGAAGGAAGAGCTGCTCAGAAAAGTACAAAGCAGAAAAAACAATAAACTTCAGAGTTTCAGAAAACGAAGAAAAAGAAGGATTATATTAATTTCAGTTTGGCTCAATTCAGCTATAGTACGTCATTCTTTCTTTTAAATCCCTACACCGACTCAGGTGGGATAATTTAGGCCCCTAGGAGAACACAGCAGGTATTTCAATATACAAGACGTGACCTTCAGGTCCCTGATGACCACAGCACTCAGTGACTCCGGAGACACTTGGCAGTGTGCAGCATTTGGATCAGGATCTGTGTGCATATCTCTGGGACAACTGACAATACTGACCACTCATACAGGCATTACAGAGTCACCAAAAAATAAACTGGCAGAGGCTGAGACATTACAAAAACAGGGGGGGAAAGGAGTGTGAAGTTTCTTTCAGATCATAGCCCTTAACTTTCCAAGACCATGAGCCTGACGATCAATCATCTCTCACGCAGAGCAGCCCTTTCCACAAGCTGGGTGCTAAAGACTTACTCTGTCTTGGCAACGTTTTGTGTTCCTTTTTAAAAGGTGTAGAACAGACACGGAACAAGACTATGAAGTTAATAAGCTAGTAAGATTAGTACTTACATAAAACCCTTGCACATACTGAGCTAAGTAACAAAACACTGGTATGGGTAGATTCCACCAAGTTTCCATGCTGAAAAATAGCAGCAGCAAACTTGAATTTTCCATCGCCTTCGGCAGTGATTTTCATTTGAATTTCCACTTCTAACACTTGAACATAGTCATGAAATTCAAGATAAAAGCGTTAGCTTTAGAGCATATATTCAACTTTTCTGAGTCCCTTGAATATAGTTCTCCAAATGGTGCATTTTACAAGCTCTTTCGTGGTAGTAGCAGTAATAAACTGAGGTTGGTTTGTTTTTTTTTTTTAATACAGATTTACTCTTGGAAACAACAAAGTACTTTCTGTTTTGAACACTTTTTTTATTGGCCAAAATGGATTTCTTTGGTTGTTAACCATCCAATCACGTGACTCCAAGTCACTTAGCAGAAAGAAAAGAGTTGCATGGTGATACGAAGATCATCTCCCCCCTACCCCCTGCCATACCACTACTCCAAGCACACTTTCATTTTTGACACTGACGTGACACCAAGAATGGTCTTTTTGGCTGCTACGAGACAACTCACACACATAATATTTGCCAATTGCTGCCCAAAACATGGTTCTGTTTTGCTGCTGGTGAAAGATGCATCATTCCTATGAGGATTCACATCATCATCTAGACATTGTATGAAGGAGAAAGCATAAATTACCAGTGCTAAACTAGCAGGTCGCCTACAGTCTGTGCTAGAAAGGCGAAGTGAAAACCTAAAATATTTTCCATGAGATGCACTGGTGATTATCAACTCGGTTTTGTGTGTTGTTTTTTAGCAGGTTATTGATTGGCTTCAGATGTTTGCCTGCAGGATTTCTGTGCCCACCAGGCGGTGTCACTGACATTAGATTTTGCGGTTTGTCTTTGCACTCATACTTTCCCAAAATATAAAAGCACAGCGCTCTGCTGACCACTATGATTTTTTCCAGTTATGCCCATGCAGTTGTTCAGATACATCCACTTAGTAACCTGCTTGTTGGTGTTTTGTGGTATGTATGTAGGAGAGATCATTTGGGATGGAAGCAATTGCAGGGAACCAGGAGAGATCTCCCATTCCTCATGAAGAAGAGTTAATTTCAGTGCTGGCCCAGCACCCTGCTCATTCATTGCCAAGCCCAGTTTGGTCTCAGTAAAGCAACTCATACCCATACACTAGAAATATTTTGGAGAGCATAAGCTAAAGCATAAAGGTCATGGAAATTGGTGAATGCGTGATAGCCATTTATTCTCCTCTGGAAGAAAAAAAAAAGACAATCCATTTATATATTCAGACTTGAGCATGTTTATAAAGGGACAGTTCAGAGCAAGCTGGCTCACAACACTATAGCGAGGGGGACAGGGACAGACGGACGCGAGCCGAGTCAGGGGACACCGTTTTGCAGGAAGACGGGCTGGGTGGCAGCTGGCGAGGGAGAGGGCAGAAGGGAGGCAAAAGGAGCAGCGCAAAGCCTTGAACCTGGAGAGAACACAGCAAACACCACAGACAACTCGGGGAACCTCTTCAGGGCTGACACAGACACCACGTAGGGAAGAGACATCAAACTTGTTGACTAACCTGACCTAGTGATACTGCCAATATTAACCCACACGAAATTTCACACAAAACTCACATCTCGGACGCTGCCAGACAGAGGATGGAAATGGTAGTACTAACAGAAAAAAGGTAGGAGACTTTCCTCCTGGTGGGCAGAGGTGGGAAGACGCTCTTTGAATGCGGTAACTCAGAATCAGCAATTCAGCATCAAGTGCGAGAGGACTTGAAATTATGTACTTGAAATGATGTACAGAAATGGAACAAGGATGTGCCATAAAGTCCCCCAACTTATACCAAAAGAAAACTAAGAGTCAAATCAGTACTATGCCTAGGGGCAATATCTGTCATTGAACTGAGTTAAACCATCATATCTTAGAGTATTTTACCTCTACGCTGGGGAAAAAAATTGCTCCAAAACAGCTGCTTTGAAGTCTTGTCAGCTGATATACTCAAAAAGTCTGGCCTCCCAAATAAAAGGAGATCACCTCAGGTCTGCTTTGCAGAAGAAAGAAAGGAAAAAAAAAAAAGAACTTAATATTCATTTACACTGTGTAAACCTGTCAGATTTACGAAGTTAAGTCATAAAAGTAACATCTACAGAGTAAGTCAGGTGTGTGGTACTAGAGACAGAAATAAATTATCATTATGATTCATGAAAAGTCTTTAATGGAATAAAAACAACCCCTACTTATATCTAGTACTTTGCAGGATTACAGTATCCAAATCCTCAGTGCTTTGCAGGATTGAAAACTAAATTTTCTACAAACTGCAGGAGTTCCCCAGCCTCCCACCACAAACTCTAGTGGACAGAATAAAAAGCTAACAGGAAACACATTTCCCAGGTTGAAAAATGTTATTAAGGTGAGAAATGTGACCAACATACATTTGAGACATTATTGTATATCACACTTCTGGAGAAACAGTCACTAACCTACCTTTTATTAGCAGCTTCTACAACTTTTCTAACATTAGAAATACAGCAAAGATTGTCTCAAGATTTCAGTACTTCTCTAAAGTAAATGTTTCAAGTTAACAGTATAATGGTTCGCAATATAGAGAGCCTTAGGTGAAATGAAATACACACAAGCTAAATAAATAGTATTTGGCTTATGAAAGGCAGCAAGAAAAGCACCAAAAACTGCAGAAAAATTTTGGGCTAAGGACTTAAAAGGCAAAAAATAAATCAGTGTAGCACACTAGACGCGTAGGTTCAAGACCCAGACACACAGGACAGCCTGCTCCTATGGGAAAACATTACTGTGCATCTCTGGAGAGAGAGAAAAGATCCACGTCACTTGAAAGTGTGGTTTAGAGGAGAGGTGCTCAGCGTGGCGAGAGGCTGGGAGCGAGGGCTGCCAACCCTGGCTGTGGAGCCAGAATAACTTGCTGCTCTTGCAGGACCTGGCCAGAGCACCGCAGTGTGAGCAAGGGCACCGACCTGTCAGAAGCAGGGACACCCACAGCCGTGCGCTCTTGTGCCTCACCTGCTTAAACCTTAAGCATGGCTGATGTAGGGGAGAAAAAACCTGCAGAACACATCCCTCTCTCGGTTTCCCATCTAGCCTGCAAAATCCCATTGACTCAATTTCTCCCAAAGAGATAATCCTTCAGCTTCAATCCTCACTCTTTGCCTGGTTCTCCATTTCAACAGGAGGGGAAGACCTGGCTCTCTGGGGCCCATATAAGAACAGTGCCTCACAGTCCCAGCAGAAGCAAGACTGCTCAGTGATCAACATCCACAGCCTTTTAACAGACTTACCTCAGCATGGGTAACTTAGATCAAGTAAGTTGTCTGCTTTAGGACTTTAAGGCTGTTGAACCTTAGCTTCACCTCACCCAGCTTCCCCCAGCCCATATCTTTGTGTAAGATTTTGTGATGCACACAAACTACTTCCCTTAATAAATCTGACAATCTCTCTTCTTCATTCATCAGAAGGTGCTGCTCTCCCTGCAGCAAGGTGGCAATTTAAATTTGTGCTTTTGCTAAGTGCCTAGCTTTTCATCGGACAGTAGTCAGGATGGGGGCATAATGTGGAAATACACCAGCTGTGGCAGTAACAACAGCATGATGGAGCGTGTGGCTACTCAGAAAACAAAGGGGAATAATTTTTCCACTGTTGCTGCATCACAACCCCAATAACACAACTGAAGAGTGGGACTTGAGACTCAAGTGGAGCGATTCTCTCTACCACTGCAGACACTACACTCCGCTGCAAACCATGTCAGTCTAACACTGAAGAGGGAGCAGGTCGGACACAGCAATTAGGACGCCTAAAATTCTGTAGCATAGACTGGAACACGTTGTGCTGCCTCCCTTTCAGTTTTTTATTTGAGGATGTATCCGAGGAAATGGATTTCCGGGTCTGACTGTTCTGGGCCCGGATCAGTTTCTTGTGTTCCCGTATTTGTCTCTGCAAATGGTTCTGGATGGCGATTCCCAGGAATTCTGGATCAAGGGAAGCACCATAAACCTCCCATGTCATGCCCTGCTCGTCCCAAGCAACATCCCTGACGTGTTTGGACTGCTTCACCTGCACTTTTGCCTCCATGGCCGGCGTGGGCTGCTTTTTGTTTTCCCCCAGGTTTGGCACAGCCTGAGCTGAAGCAGGAAAAGCTGCTGTGTGAAGCTCGTGTCTGGACTCCTTTGCCTGGAGGCCTTGCTGCTGGGGAGCTGCCAGTGCCTCCGAGGGAGGGGTGAGATGTGCAGAGCTCGCACTCAACTTGGCCATCAATCCTGCCTGCAGGCCCTGACCGACAGCCGTCTGACCCTGGCCAGCACCCTCCTCGCCTCTGCTCTCCTCCTTCTCACCTCCATTCTTCAAGCACGTCTGTATGTGGACAACGGCAGATTGGCTGTTAACATTCATCCCTCCTTTAGGATCAAGCACCACTGAGTTTTCTCCCTTTGGTTTTACCACAGATTCATTAGGAATGGCCTCCTCTTGACTCACACCCTTACTTTGCACAGGTTTTTGCTCAGAGCTGCCCAGGACCTCCTTCTGTTTGACTTCACTATCATTGCTACAGAGTAAAGGTAAGCGGCTGCTTCCTGCATCTCGCACATTGTTCTTGGTTCCGGGGACAGCGGCAACAGAAGTGATGGTGCTTGGTTCACCAGCACCAGACCCAGACTCTGCCGGAGTTTGATTGCTGGAGTCAACTGCAAGCTGCTCACCGGGGATCGGCTTTGGTGGGACTGGAGCATCCATCATAAGCCGAGAAGCATCTTTGCCATCATGTGCTGCATCAGTCCTCTCGGCATTACCCACAGATGTCCCTTGGGAGGTAACAGCCACAGGGGAGATGGGGAAAACAGGTTTTGTGTTATCTGCTAACACTGGAGACACCATATCAGATGAGACCCCAGGGATCTTGACAGCCTGGGTTTGGGATGAAGCAGTCACAGCCGTAACAACAGTCGATTTTGACGTGAGACCAGGAGAACACGGGGACTTTTGTTGTGAGGATAAACTATCAGTAGGTGCAGACTGGCTCAGCCCCATACTTCCTTGGTAAATGATGTGCACTTCTTCCTTCTCCTCTGGAGAAGGATTCCCTTTTAAGAAGGCAGCAAGGATGCTGGGACTGGTGGAGGCTGATTTGCACTCCATGGTAGCCACAGCTTGAACCTCTGCATCTCGCTGTGTCCTGCTTCCTGCTTCCTGAGTTAAAGAGCTGCTTTCTGGATGAACCGTCATTGTACTCATTTCTCTGAATTTGGAGACTTGAGTGGGGCCTGGACTCACTGGCTCAGCACCCACATGCCGTACGGGCTGTGGACTCTCACGGCTAGGCTGGGCTGGTGTCTTGCTGCTCTGCACTGCTTCAGTTTTATCTGTGGAATGCAACTGCGTGGTGTCTGCAGCCCCACTTTTTGCTTCCGGACTGGTCCGTGGGTCTCTTCCCAGGTCACCTTCGCTGTGCCTCGCTGACGAGGCTGACTGACATGTGGTAGAACCAGTATTTTCTCCTCCTCTGTCTTTTTCCCCTCTTTGCAGAAGGTTTGCCTGAGAAGTATGACAGGAATCATTACCCCTGACAGGGTCATCCAGGGAAGAATAATTAAACACCTCAAGTGCTGGCTGATCATCAGTCCCCTGAGGTTTCAAGGCAGAGTCATCCATTTGCATCAGAGAGCTCGTTTTCGACTGGCTGCCTTGCACGAACTGCCGGGAGCTCTGGGGGGCTGGCATCATCTCTGGCTCCTGCCCCACCAAAGGGGCTCCTGGCACTGCTGGTCCCTGGCTCGCTGATGGCCAGGAGCAACCAGCAGCCTCTATGGCTGCAGGATGTGCCTCTGCAGTTTTGCTGGTGAATCTGGGAGGAAAGGTTTCCTGCTGGTTAGCATCCTCCTTGTGGCATTGCTCGCACCTCTGCATGCATTTCAGGTCAAAGCAGCAAATCTCAGAAGAGGTGGATGGCGTGCCTGGGAAGCCATTGCTAGCCTTCTCTCCACTGTGTAACTGGGGCTGGTGGTTAGCAGACTCCCGATCTCTCAGGTGGTCCTCCACCACAGAAGCTGTGACCAGGGAAAGCTTGGCAGATCTAAGAGGATCTGGTACAGTCCCCATGGACTGTCTCCAAGATGTGGTTTGCCTTCAGTTTCCCCTCGGAGTTTTCTCACTGGACAGTGGGTACAAACAGGCTGTTGGTGACAGGTTTCCTGTAAAGCTAATCTGTTAATGAAAGAAAAGGAGTGTTAGCAGCAGTCAGATTTAATAAGAGTTATCTGTGATGATTTTGTGACCTCATCAAGGTCGGGCCCTGTAAGATGCACGTCCCCAGCTCCCCCTCAGCCATATGACCGACACAGCAGCACCTGGGATGCACACCAGCAGCCTGTGTGACATCGCCGTCACAGTGCATCCCCGTGATGCGCCAAGGCCTCCCCCCAAGGCCATCAGGCAGTACACACCACAAGCTCTCCTGTGCTGCCTTCATGCTCGACACGCTCTGCGACCGAGAGCTAGAGCAGCCAACAAGCGCACCCACACTCAGCCGAGGGCCAAGGCCCAGGAAGGTGAAGCCTTGCCGCTCCTTCCAGGGAGGCTTCGCACCGCACCTTGCTCTGGCAACACTCCAGCTCTGCCCGTAGGCTCTGCAGCCGTGTCCGGC